CCTTTTCTTCCTATTTCACATTATCTCTTATACCTTTTAGTCCTTATTTACACTTTCAGTTTCTCACACTAGAGAAACTATTTGGTATTTACACATGTGTGTCCTATTTATACTTAATGTTGTGTTCAGTTTTTTCACCTTTGGGGCTTCACTTGTTCTCTTATTCATTCCTCAGTCACTGACCACTAACTTTAGAGCTTGTATACAACTGTCTTTATCTTTAGCCTGGTGTGAAATAGCTAATCCCTCCTATTCTTCTCCCCACCCTGAGCACATTATGTCCTTTGTTTTCCAAGTTAAATGCTGAAATTCTCTATTGGAAAAAAAAAACAGACTCCCGGAAATGAAAGGACACATGTGGGGCTCTCACCTTGTCATTTCAGCCTCAGACCACCTAAGACTCAGGTGGAGCAGGGCCGATAAGGAGATCCCACAGGAAGAGAACCCCAAACAGAGCACCTAAGGAAGTACCTGACCGTTAAAACAGTGGGTGAATGTACACAAAATTCATTTGCAAGAAATGAGACTTTTTGCATTTTTAGGACAAGAAAGGCACTAAAAATTTAATTTAGGTAAATAATCAGGAAGCATGGGCAGTGGTGTGCTAATCTTTTATGGTGAGCAGCTGAAGTTGGTGTGGATTATGAGGCGCGCAGGGTTTCCCTATCATTTGCATCTTCATCAGTCCTAGAATAGCCCAAAATTTGCCAAAACCTAGGAACAACTCAAATATCGACCAACAGTAGCATGAATATATAAATTATGGTATTTCATTCATGGAAATATGAATGAAGATGAATGAGATGAGGTGAAAATGAATTATGTAAAAACTACATGTAAGAAAAAGAATGAATCATAGAATGTGAAATGACAAGACAAACACACAGTCCTAAAATGTGCAATTATATTTACTATACATAAGATTCAAAAGTAGGCAAAATTAATTGTAGTTTTAGAAGTCAGGAGAGTAACACTTATTGGGAAGGTTAGCAGCGATCAGTAGGCAAGAGCTGGGTTTCTGGGGGTCTATTAGTGCTATTTCTTAACACGCCTGGTTCAATGGGCATATTCAATTGCTGATAGGTTACTGAAGAATAGTTATCATTTATGTGTAGCATATGTGTGTCAGTCTTTAAGAAAGACTTGCATTGTGCCTGCTTGTCCATCAAGGATTTGGGTTTTTAACAGCTGAAAAGACCCTCAGAATCCCTGCCTGGCATGTGAGGTCCATTTCTAGAGTTGGAAAAGCCATGATGAACAATGGGGCCACAGAGGCGTATGAGGTGGGAAATTGGGGCAGAGACCATGCTGTACAGAGATCACACAGCACTAGATCTTGCAAGGAAGTCCCACAAAATGGGAGAGCTGAGACTGTTGGCATTCAAGAGTGATTAGCCCAGGGGCTGAGTGGGCCAGAACATGCGGATGAAGCCTAACCAAGAGGAATGAGGGGTTGACAGTGGGAAGTAATGGTGTTAAGAGCTCTCAGAAAGCCACACTGCCTCCTTTTATGGCATTCCCTCCTTAATGTGAGTAGTGGACTTGGCTCAGGCCATGGAACCACAGCCATGATTTTCCATCTGTGCAGAATGGTTGTAGTTTCTCAAAAGGGCGTGCTGCCAGGCTGTGGACTGCTAGAAATCTTTCTCCACTGCTGGACTCTGTGGAAGTGACTTGACTGAATGAAACAAAGCGATGAAGGGAGGCTTTTGGAAAGAGTGAGCCTAAATAGGATCAGCATTGATACAGACCAACCCAAGGAAGAATGGGGTGTCCTTACCACAGCATGGTAGGAAGGCATACTTGAATAACGTAATGGGAAGAATATGAAGACAGGTGAGTCTCTGGGGATTTAGAAAAGAAGAAACCAAATCAGAAAGTCATGGGCAAGGTGTGAGGGCTGCAGATTTGTTACGAACCTATCTTCAGGTCCAAGTTGTGAATTTTTTTTTTTTTTTTGGTACTGGGGATCGAACTCAGGACCTTGCACATTCGAGGCAGGCAGTGACACTACTGAGCTAAATCCCCGGCCCACAACTTGTGCATTTTTTTTTTTATTAATTTTATTGGTACATTTTAGGTATACAATACAGTTACATTCATCATTGGAAATTTGCACCTT